GCTCCCCTCAACACCCAGAGGAGCCCTGCTGGCCAAGGGACACATTCGGCACCCAAGGAGAGAGGGAGGTTGAGTGGGTTCTGTCCTGGCTCTGGGAGGGGAGCAGCGTCCAGTGGTTAGAGCAGGTGGGCTGGGAGCCAGGGCTCCTGGGTTCCTTCCCAGCTCTGCTACTGACCTTGGGCCAGTCCCTGCCTCAGTTTCCCCACAGGCTCCACCCAACTTGAAGGCAGTGGTGCACTCTGAGCCTGGCACCCAAGGAGAGAGGGAGGTTGAGTGGGTTCTGTCCTGGCTCTGGGAGGGGAGCAGCGTCCAGTGGTTAGAGCAGGTGGGCTGGGAGCCAGGGCTCCTGGGTTCCTTCCCAGCTCTGCTACTGACCTTGGGCCAGTCCCTGCCTCAGTTTCCCCACAGGCTCCACCCAACTTGAAGGCAGTGGTGCACTCTGAGCCTGACAAAAGGGGGAAATTTCTGTTTCCAGCAGCTGCTCGGAGCCGCAGGGGACCAGCCGGCCCTGCTCCTCCCCCTCCCCAGAGGGTGGGGTGCCGCTGAGTCTCCATAGCGAGGGGGGGTTAAGTCTGCTTTGACGTCGGCCCCTTTTCAGACTGAGCCTTTGTTTCCCTGTGCAGCGTGGACGTGCAGGCCTGCTTCAGCTACACAGCCAGTCCTGACAGCTACAGCCCCCGCCTCAGTGAGTAGTGTAGGGCCGGGCCTCGTGCTGCCCCAGGCCTGGGTGTGCCACACTGGCACGGGGGAGGGATACTGCATGAGAGTACCCCCCTGTGCATCAGCCTTGCTCCCAGACCTAGCACAGGGGGGTGCCCACAGCTGCCCCACAGCTGTTCACTGTGTCCCAGACTCCAGACAAAACCCAGAGCAATCCTGAGGGTGCTCTAACCTACCTGAGCAGCCCCACCCCAGAGGGGGCTGCATCTCAGCACAGGGTAAGAGCGCCCTGTCTAAACAGCTGCCGTGCCCCACCCCAGAGGTGGCTGCATCTCAGCACAGGGTGAGAGCGCCCTGTCTAAACAGCTGCCGTGCCCCACCCCAGAGGTGGCTGTGTTTCGCTGCTGAGGGAGCAGTTGCCCTGGGAATGGGAGATGCCACAGAGCCCAAGACTTCCCTCCTTCCCCAGTGCTCGCGTACACCTTGGACGCCGACGTGGACCGGCGGAAGCGGGGCCAGGCCCCTAGAGTCGCCTTCCTGGACGGGAAGACCGCCGACCCCGAGCACCAGTTCACAGACGTGGTGGAGCTGCCCCACCAGCACGCCCCTGTCTGCGTCAAGGCCACTTTCCAGCTGCAGGTGGGTCCTGCTGCCCCTGCCCTGCCCCCCGGCGTGCCGCGGGCTTAGCCCCCTGCGCCCTCTCGTTGCAGGACAGCATCCGGGACAAGCTCCGCCCCATCACCGTGGAGCTGACGTACAGCATCAAGCGTGCCCGGAGCAAGCGCCAGAGCCAGGGCTCCGCGCTGCCCCCGCTCGTACCCGTGCTGAACGCCCTGCAGCCCAGCAGCCAGAGGGCAGAGGTGAGGCAGGGCCCTGGGGATGTGGCCTGGTTCACAGACAGGAGACCAGCAAGGAGCAGGTGCTAGCAGGGGCTCTCCCTGCCTGGACCCTGCGAGCGGCTCCTCACACCTCCGGGTGCTACAATCGCCTGGCACCTTCCGTCAGGGTCCCTGGCCGGCGCCCAGTGCCAGGGACTGTCCCACCCCTACAGGCGGTTTCCGCCTGTGCAGGAGGTTGCCACTTGCTGCAGGGCAGGGGCTGGCCCTGCCCCA